AGCAGCAACGGCAACAGGAAGAGCGTCGCCTGAGGCCGGACGAGATCAAAGTCGAGGTCGGCGAGGACGAGTTCGCGAACGGTGTCGCCCGAGAGGAATCGGCTACGAAGACCGCGGATACGTCGACGGTGGCGGCGAGCACGGTAACGGCCGCCACGACGACCACGTCGACGACGACAACGGGAACGAGCATCCTCGCCGTGAGCATCGGTACAGCGAGCGGCACGATCGCCACGATCACCACGCCGAACACCACGGCCGCGATGACCACCGGGACCACGACGATCCCGACGAGACGACGACGCAAACGCCGGCAGAACGATGGAGAGGCCACCGACGACAGAGAGGACGACGAAGAGAACGAGGAAGAGGAGGTCGAGACGGAGAAACGGCTGAAACTCGACGAAGACGCCGACAACAGGCCCATCAGTCCTTTGAGGAGGGATTATCCGACTGCCAACGCAACAGATACGGAAGGGACCAAGGTTCGTAGATTATCTTTCTTCTCTCGGCGAGAAGAGAGGGAAGAAAGAGATTAGAAACGAAAAGGAGAGAGTCGTTATAACAACGTATGACGTTATTTGTTGCAGGAACGAACGGAAGAAGTCGCGTTGGAGCGGACACCGGTGACGCAGGGTTCGTTGCGGGTAAAGACGGAGGAAGAGTTGCAAGGAGTGCCGAGTTCTGGAGGCGGCCCGACGATATTGACGACACCGACGCCGGATTCGGACGTTATCAGGTCAGGATTGCCGTGTCGGGAGGTTGAAGCAGCCGCTAGGAACACGGTGGCGCCGTTTCTTATTGGAAGCCGACGCACCAGCCCACCGCCAGAAGACTGGAAGCCGCTAGACAAGTGTTACTTTTGCCTGGACGGCAAGCTACCGCACGATGATCAACCACCACTCGTAAGTATGCCTCTCTCGTTAGTCTCCACGGCTAAAGCGGAATGTGTCTTGTTAGTCGCATTATGGTGGCGACGTTGCGTAAAAACGTTGACGGCCAGTTCAGTTCGATTCACGATCGATCGATCCGAAGAATAATCCCGCGTTGGGTCGGAGGATTCATTTATTCGCGTCACTCCAGATTCTCGGTATTGACGAACAACGTTGTCACCATGACGCGATTCGTCGCGCATAAAACTGCATTAGCCGAACGCGAGAATTCTCCAGTACGCATAATTAACCGCGCGGAAAGGACAACACTTCTGTTTCACGTGTGGTGGTGTACGGTCGGATATCGGTCCTCCCGGCGTGTCGCTCAGGACACTAGGAAACGTTCAATTTTTGATTATCTCTCGCGCAGAAAGAGTACCCCGTACGTCTCTCTCTCTCTCTCTCTCTCTCTCTCTCTC